TGTTCAACATCAATTATCATCATACGTTTGTTGGCAGAAACATTAATCATGAAAATAAATGGGAGACAAATATTTAAAAGTGATAGCACAACGTTCTATTTGTCGTAAATGAATGATTAGAAATTTTTTGCTTGTTTAACTTTGTCAGCATTTTTTTAATTCACTTTTTGCCTTAATTTGGGTCATCGAAACGCAACAGATTATGTTCTTTTTTAATATGTATAGGTTTATACAGGTATCTAGTTCTCTGTTATTTTTCTGACATTGCTAGTATAACCATATTTGACGTATTTTTGTTAAGTTGATACAGGATATTAAGCCAACTTATACGAGAAATGACTATAAAACAGCAACAATGCCCGCAAACTGGAAGAAGAACAAGGACCCAAACGTCTTAGCAGGTATGCTATTTGTACTGTTTCCTACAGAACATTATTTTATAACCAACTGAATGATGTATAATATATATAAATCAATCTTATAAGACTGTATATAAACAAAAAAGAAAAATTACATATGATGTTAATTGTACGATTTTCAGTTGATAAATTCAGAGCTTATTTGCCCTCCTCGTCCTTTGGTAGAACGGATTATATCAACGCTTTGGAAGTTCCTGTAAGTTTTTTTTACCGTTTTCTACACATAAAAGGTGCACAATTTTATTCAAAAATATGCCAAATAGTACATTAGATTGTGGGTTATAAACAAATATATCAATATAGTATTCCAAGTAAGACGGTATTGGTGTCAGTAAATCGTATAGGATTTCAAAAATGATCTCGTTTTCTGGATTTTTTTATCAATTTATATCAGATACATAACATGCAAACCTACTCCAGTATAATAAAAATGTCTCTCCATAGAGCTTTATCAGATATCGTCTTGCTAGTACTAGCATTATGTGAAAGCATCATTTCATGGACAAGTTAGTAGCCAATTAAAACAAAACATTATTACGTTATGTTAAGAGGTCAACCTGGTCGTAGTAGCCACAACGCATTGCTAGTGCGTCCTGTGACGTGAATGTTGCTTCATCAATTTAAACAATTTAAATGTCTTTGGGACATGGCCTTTTATACCTTATTCCAAGACGTTTATCTCCTTCATTTAGTACCATATGTCTTTTACGAAACTTTAAGAATTTGATCATTTCTATATACACGTAAACCATCATGTTATTGACTAAACTGTCTTTTCAGTCCTACACGTCTAGAACCGGCTATATCGTTACTCAGACACCTCTAGAGGACACCGTGGTCGACCTGCTGACAATGATAATGGACCAAGAGTGTGATACCATCGTTATCATTGAAAACGAACCCGTCGTAAGTGTAAAATCTTTTGTTTTTAATTTATAACCCAACACATTATATTGTATTGCTTTCTAAATAATAACGATCCAAATATTTTCTCGAATAAATGACAGATTACATATAATCGAAATTTATTCTTAACAACATATGCCTTATTTTCAAAACAAAATGTTGATCTCCTAATCGCTGATAAGTGTGTATAACTTTGATAGCCAGTTGTTTCTGCCACAGGAATGGTTACCAGAAGAAGGCAATGGTACATCCATTGGATCATTCATACTGAGGCACGAAGGAGGATCGTCAAATCTGACTAATACAGATTTGATAGAGGTTGCAATCTCCAATCAGGTTAGTCATTTTTTTAGTAACTATTCGATCATTTCAATGCATTTTCTATCAGAAATGTATCGTTTATACAGTTCCCTAGTATAATCACTTGTAGTCCTTTTTTGTATAAATATGTAAACTAATGAAATATTGTTTATTACTACATTGATAATATTGATATATTCTTCTCATTACTGCCAATATATCCATTGTTCCCTCAAACGAAATATTTTTCCTTTTTAATATTCTATAATGCAAATTTGATATATTTTATTTGCATAAATGCTATAATCAAATAGTAAAATCGAATTATTCCAGGACCACAGATATGATGCAAGAATCAGGGTGTTCCAAATGTCTGGTTGGGATAGAGACGTGTCAGTCCCTCCGGATGCTCCGGGTCTTCTGCAGCTCCTTGAACTTCTTGAAAGCAGACGGAGGTCAAATTACTCAAAGAAAACAGTAGTCATGTGCAGGTTTGTAATAAGTGTCAATATCAATACCCATGTTTGTAAACACGTTTTATTTTCATCTGAAACCAGTACAAAAACAATATCAATGGTGTATTATTTCGTATTGATAAAATCATATACAAAACACATACTATATATACAATTACTAATTCAAATAAGTGCCTTTGTACAACCTTTATGGAATTATGATCATCATATATCCCGGTCAAACGTTTGATTTTTATCACTTAATTATAGATTTGCCCCTTGTCCTGGTCAACTCTTTGTTATTTCAATGCATGGTATCGATGACTCCTAGTAAGCTATATATATATAAAGACAAATTTCCATCAACATAACGGAATGGTCTATTCAGAAAATGGTACTACTTCATACATATTGATCGTGTCATTTTCAACAGGACATATGTATCTTATTTGACAGTTAAATAGTTGTAAAATATGTGTATAAAATATTCTTTTCGAACATATACATGCCAACTACACACATGGTATATGCATCAGCTATTCTGATAGTGTTGTAATCCATGCATGTATTAAGATTTGCTTCCCCTATATCATTAAGAAACAAAACACCAACTGGATGACACGTAATATGACTTATATTGGCTATTTGTATAAAATATTTAAATTAAATCACGTGAAATCAAAGTCGTTAACATTGGTCTATGCACCGTACAATCCATTCATAACCGATTCAAGTTATAAAGGGTTTAAACAGCGGTATGTTTTATCAGCTAACTATTCATTCATTGTTCTGTCGTGTTTACCTCTTTAGAGACGGTTATTCACAGAGCGGCCTGTTCTGCTGTATTTGCAATGCTCGGGATCAGATGAAGATTGACGAAGAGATCGACATATTTCAGATTGTTAAACAAATACGTTTTAGACGCCCGGAATTCATCACCAACTATGTGAGTAAATTGCCAATGAAAGTATTAAGTGATGTAGATGGCAAATAATAGGTATGTTAAATTGTGAGGTTATGAGATAAAATATAATATTTGTATGAGAAAATCAACATTTTGGAATAAATTAAGATTATACAGAATGTATACTCAATTTCTTTCTGATATATTCTGACTATTTCAGTAAATTCATTGAATATCTACCGGACAAAATTTATAAAACAAAAATAT